GGCTGGGACATTGACTTAATCCACTCACAAGGCGGCCTTCCCCAGCCGCTGCAGCCCAAACACTCCCACCCGGGCCTCCCTTCCACTTTCTCCTGCTCTCTCCTCCTTGTCGGTACATGACAAGAGCTTTTGTATTTATTGATCTTTGTCAGGAATCAGCAAAATATGGCCCAGAGGACAAATCCTGCCCTATCCTACCTTGGTAAATAGTTTTATTAGAACACAGCCATTCGTTGCAGACTGCCTCTGGCTGCCCTTGCGCTGAAACAGTAGAATTGAATAGTTGTGGCAGGAACTGTAAGGCCCACAAAGCCTAAACTATTTACATCTGGCCTTGCACTATCTGCCTCTCGAGCTATGTGTTTCTTGTGTTTCCTCACTCCCAAAATATGAAGAGAGACTATTCTGTTTACTGCTCTAACCATGACACTAGTGCCTAGCACATAATAGGTGCTTAATACCCCTTGCCAATCACTCCTAGATGTAACAGGAGAAAGGTAAATTGTGTTGACATGCACCCAAAGCTCTGAACTCAGTCACACATCTGGAATCACTGCTTTCTGGGAATATATGTAATGAGCTGGTGTAAAGAAAATTGTAAAGGGCCATAGAATACTCTGGGGAGGATTCTTGAACCAAGGAACAGTTTTCATAGAAAGTGTCTTGGTCTCACTTCTGGGCCCATTAGAGGTAGAGCAGTGCATTTTTTATAACCCTGCTATGGTAACAGAAACATGTCCAGGCAGATTTGCACTGAGAATTAGGGTAACATCTGGAGATAAGAGTTTAGAGTAACACATTTCTAAAAACTTGTTGATGGTAGCACCAGCCTGTGCCTTTTTCTTAATTTCTTTGACTCTTGTCAATTGATATTACCCAGAGGGTTGTGTGTTTTTTAACCCACCACAGTTGTAAAATATGAAGATACCATTTCCCATCATTCTCTCTTAGTTTATATGAGTAGCTTACAATTTTGTTCTATGGTAAAGTTCTCACCAAAAGAATCTCTTATTAAGAAGTGGAAATTCTGACCTACTGAAACCCAGTCAAGTGCTCTCTGCCAGGCAGATGTGTCCGAACCAGCCAAAATCAACATGCTGCTGTTCAGATGTTCTGTTTAAGAGGGAAAGATGAATTTAACAGTGTTTCAGTTTTAAGTGACCTACACACCAAGATAGGGAGCCTCACCGAGTAGGTCATAATATGTATCACATCTGGAATTTTTATCAGATAGGTCTCCAGGCTGAGCTGCCAATCTCATGACCTACCCGCTCCCCAAGCCAATATGGTTGGATGGTAGTCACACCTTTTCTACTCATTCTCTGTATGACAGCCTATGTGATTTAAAATACAATTTACTGACATATCTGCCCTTCTAAAAATTCCTCAGCATCTACATATTGCCTTTAGGAGAAAGGCAAAGCTCGCATAACACAGGTGGCTCCTAGGGACTTGACTCTGTGCCCAGCTACTTTGAGTGTCCCCTTCCCTCAAGGCTCACATCGCCCTCCCCTACTCCCACCCTCTGCTCTGAAGGATGCACGTCGAAGAGTTCTGATAATGCTCCACTCTGTCTCTGTCCCCCTTTCATCTCTTTCTAGCTCTTTCTACCTCTCCCTTTTCTCTAGTGCTCCCAAGCCTTTGTGCATGCTGGCCCCCTTTGATTCTGCCTGACATGCTCTCTCTCCTCCTGAACATCCTAGAGTCTCATCTCAGACTTCCTTCTCCTAACAGCCTTTCTTGATCCCACAAGTCCAGATTAAAATCCTATGATAGGCAATAATATTGGAAACTCCAACTCCAAATCTAAGAAATGTCTCACATGGAAGACTAATGCAGGGTAGAGCTCTGAATTAAACTCTGATGTCTCCCCCAACATGATCTAAATTCTTAAAGTCAATGTACCAAACACTGCTCTAAGTACCTCCCAAACAACTCAACTATGTGTTCCTTAGATAAATCTTCAAATGCTATTGAAAAAATTCAGGATTGTTCTTTTAAAATACGATCAAAGTTGTTTAAAATAGCATGCTAAATACATGTTACTCAAAGATAGGTCTTGTTTTGAAAGCCCCGCACTTTAAGGAAATCAGAGAGAAAATGTGGATGAAGATCAGCCACTTGTAGTAGCTCCAACACGTAGTGCTATGAGAAAGCACTGGGTTACTCTGGAGAAATGCTTGTAACAGAATAAATAGGTTTGGAGATCACTGAGTATGAAATTGCATGTAAAATGAAAAAACAAAACAAAACTGACACATTTACGGGGACTATCTGAGCAGCAAATCCTGGGCGGAGGCATTTTAAGAACATCAAGGCCTCCTCAGTAGCCTCTGGGTATGTGGAAACAGCTGTAATCTAAATGATTAAAATGTGTGCCACCTTTTCTAGAACCTGCTGTGGGAGGGCAGTCAAAGGTGGCACCTTGGGAGTGAAATGACCTAAGTAGTGCCAACAAGGGCAGGCAGAAAAGGTAACCTTGCTACAGAGAGAAGAACAGTCCACACTAGACAAGTCCAAGGGCATGTGCTGATTCCAGCCCTGCACAGGCCTGGCAAGGTCCCAAGGCGGCCTAAATCTGAGGGATGAAGGCTGAGGGGTGGCACTGGACAAAGGAGTGAAGATGACCAGAACATAAGTCCCATCTGTGGAAAGGTGTATGAAACAAGGCCGGGGACTGAAAACGAGGTACAGACTAGAATAAAGAGACTCAGCGTTGGCAAGCCTCTCAGCAATCTCGGGGCAGAAGGCAGAGCTTCCTTCAGGGGAGCCACAAGCACACACTGCAGCCCCCTGGAGGGAGAATTAGGGGGTTGGCCCCTGCTGATGTCCAGGTATTTCTTCCTTAGGTCCAAGATGTGATCAGGTCTTCTAAACCCTGCTTGCCAGTGTCCCAGAAGCTCTCAACATTCTCCCAGAACCTCCTGGGTTCAAAGCTGAAAGGACAGGTGGCCCTGAAAGGGGCTGCACCCACTGAAGGCCCTCTGATTGTTCCAGGACCAGAAGAGAGCCCGATGACAAAGCTCAGCTCCAAGCTGTCCTTGGGCGTTACGGGGTCTCTGAGAAATATCACCAGGAAGCAAGTCTTGACCTTGATTTTTGTGCATTTCACATCAGTTAGGACAATGCCAGTGTTGTCATTCTATGTCTGCATTTAAATGGAAAAACAAGGAACCAGGATGGGGGATGCCACTCCGGAAACTTGGCAAAGTACCCCCTCTTTCTCTAAGTCATCGTCTTTGGGAGAAGAGGGAAGGCAGAGAGAGGGAGAAAAGGGCTCTACTGCCTTTAGCCTCCCGAGCGGGGTTTGAACTGCCCTCCCACAAGAGAACGCACGCCAGCTCCCCTGCAAAGCTTCCCCGCAACGTGACATCCGCATCCGTGATGCCTACTGAGATCACAGGGACCTCAAAGATTTCTTCAGAGACTCACCCTAACGTACGAAGAATTGTGACCAGGACTGTCAGATAACTACATTCCTGACTCTCGAATTCAATTTGTGCCCTCATAAAAGACACTTTACAAAACAGGAAAAAAAAAAAATCACTTTTAAGAGATGCAAGGAGAGGTGTGACAATTTAAGTAGTGGAAAGAATTACAGACACTCATATTCTTGGAACAAAGAAAAGGTGTCCTGCAACATCTTCCCTTTTAGCCAAATGAATAGTGGATGGCAAACCTCCCACCCAGCCAGCAAGGCCGTGGTTCGGTGAACCTCGGTGATAAATGGAGGCCAGAGGCTGTCACAGCCAGATTAGCACAGGAGACGTAGGTTTCGCCTTCATTTAACAGTAACTTGCTTCACAAGTCTATGCAAGGTCTTCAGCAGGTCCAAGGAAAGTTATGTCTGGTGTTTCTGCCCCAACTTGATTAGACACTCTAATGCTTTATCAACACACTTTCAGGTTCATTGAGGAGATTTTAGAAGTGACTCTTCAGGAACTAACCTCTCTCCTACTTGTCAATTATTAGTGCCTATAACCAATTCAGTATTTCATTGTCAGAATCATTAGTAGTGTCTGACTGATTACTTACATTGTCAAACGTGATCTTTACAAAGAAACAGGTTATACAGAAATGGTATCCTCAATAACTCTGATAGTTCTTTGCACATTTCACAGACTTATGTATTTGGTGAATAAATGAAGAATAAATTATGCATAAAGAAATGCATTTAAATCATTTTTTAATGAAATCTAAACTAATTCCCATAATGTAGTTTTAAGATATACTTATCCTATTTAAATAATATACAAAATGGGGCTTTTCTAGTGACTATTTTGTATTTATGTGAAACAGGTAACACTTATTCAAGTAAGCTGCTCTTTCTAGATGAGAATTACTAACATTTAAAAACTAAAAATGGCCCAGCCCTTCTATGTACACTATTTCAGGGCTGTAAATTCAAGTCGTATTCCATTGTTCTGACTTTTATTGTACCAAAGTACTAAACCCCACCTGTGAGGTGAGGCACTGCTGACACGTCAGGTAAGTATGGTGTCAGGAGCAGAGATGGGACAGGGTCCAGGAGGTTCCAGATGTGAGAAACCACAAAGGGCACTTTGTACAATGGCATTTTTATTCCACAAGCGTATTATATTAGATATTTTAAAGCAAAGACTAAGATGATATTGCATATAGAAGCTAAACCAAGGACTATACTTTTGAACAATTTTAATAATAAACTAAATGAAGGAATGCTCTGGAGCATGGGAATTGTGTTCAGAAAAGACAAAAACATCAGGGTACTGCCTGCCACCCACTGTCAGCCCCAGATTGCCATTTATACAAAGTGTGATGGGAAAACCAAAGGAGAACCATCATTTGAACACCACACTAAAAGTAAAAATAAAAAAATAAAAAGAAAGAAAGAAAGAAAAAAGAAAACAAAGGTAAATTATTCACTTTTTGTTGCCCAATTTCCCTCATTTATCTAGAGGTGAAAGCTCCACGGTGGAAGCAAAGTGGAGAGGTTTCCCCTTAATTATCTAAGTAATTACCTTAAGTGTCTGCCTGGCTTTGGCTGTGGAGACATAGTAACAACCATGCAGACCCTACTGAAACAAGAAGATAGGAAGTTCATAAAATGTTCTCCGTCTCCACGCAGCAAGGCACGCGAACATTGCCTGGAAATGCAAACTGTGATCTTTTGTGACAAAATTAAAGAAACCTTTTTTAAAAAAAAAAAAAAAAAGTTACAGTGAGAATGACTATTTGTATATTTTTTCACATCCTACTGTGAAGGAAAGTTTTATTACCTAATAATCCACACTAGCGATAACTGAAGGATACACCATCTGAGAACTGTAGGCTGTGCTGGCCCCTGGCATTTTAAAAGGCGAATGCTAGAATTATCTGCTTTCTGGGGCTCTTTGGTTTCCTGTTCGTTGCTCAGAACTGTTACTACAAAAATAAGAGATACATGTAAGGAAATCATTTTCCCCGGGAAACAGATATCAAGTCTGTGCCTCATTTCCACAAGAGGAACATACTGGACTCTACAGGATGTCTGATGAAGTCCTAGAAAAAAATTGTTAAGTAAATGAAGCCATTATTTTCAGTGTGAAACCTCCTACTTTGGGGGATGTCCTGCCATCTTGTTCCGACTTCCCTGGTACCCATTCAGCTCGCTGATGCTGGCCCCTTGCTTTTATTCAAGGCCCTATCGTTATATTTACTCTCCGAAAACTGTGTGGCCCAGGAGGCACTCTGCCATGCCATTCTGTTGCAGTCAGAATGGATTTACGCGGCATTCTAATCTCACAGTGGCCACGTGCTCACAAAGAAACACCTACTTTGTCTGAAAGGTAATTTGTTGAAAGGCCTTCAGTTGGAATTGAAAGACATGTCCCAGATTCTCTTGTCTAAGCATTGTGGTTCTAAAACGAAGTCATCCTTGGGAAACAGTTTTTCCCTTTAATATGATTCGATATTATCATGGCTATAATTTCTTTATCTACTAGTCAGGGCTCTTTTCCCTTTATCCTTGGAATATTTCACTTCCTCTTTTCTCCAGTTGATATATATCAGATCTATGGGGGAAGATCCTGTTCAATCCTTGATGCAAGATGTCAATAAAATTCAGGTTTCTCTGGAATTCTTTCAGTGCACACCAGAGGGTTTCTCTTTGCTATAATGTTGAATAAAAAGAGACAAATGAGGTCTCCAAGGCTGGATAGGACAGTCCCCACCTTGCTTCTGAGACTACTTCTAGTTCCTTGTCATATTGACTGTATGTTGTTAGGGAAATGTTAGGAGGCCAAAAGGTGTTTTGCAGACATCACCGTGGGAGAGGAATTTTGTGATATATACACTGTGCTCCCAAGTGCTTCCTGGGGCAAGGCTGAAGCCCGCCTTAGCCTCATTCCCATCAGGTGGGTAGGCAACGTGACATTCACAAAACTCCTAGTGTGCTGTGGGCCACAGGATTTTCCATAATTTTTCTATTAACCCATGACATCAAAAGACCATGAATATAAAAAATGAGTCATGGACTCTGTGAAATTATTACGGATAACACATTGATAGGCAATGACAAATTGATATGTTACTACTATCTGGGTGTTACAGTTGTGAAATGGGATTCTCAGAAACTTTATGCCTGAAGTCAAAGTGAGAAGATAGATTTTAAGTCAGGCCTGCCCTTTACCAGCTTTCAAATGATGCCTCAGATAGACTATCCAATTATCTCTGTCCCACTTAGTCTATGAGGCTGGATTTCAAAAAAATAAGACAAATGACTGTGTTCAGAGTGAAAGTTAGAGACTGTTAAGGAAGGTGTCAGTTTCTGGGAAAATGAACAAATAAAACATTGGATGGATTGGTGTGTTTTTTTAAAAAAAAGGCAGGGGTAGGGGTAAGGGTGAGAAAGTCCTTTACATGGCGATTTCTCAGATAATTAGAAATTTTTCCATGGATCTTATAGCCCCCTTAAAATGTGTCTGTAACACAAACTAGATTATACGAACTCTAAGCTGCAGGGACAGTGTTTCTCCACTAGCCATGAGTGTGAGAGGTGTAAGGGTGAGAAGTTGGCAAGGAGGGCTGGTGTGTAAAGGAAACAGTGATGTAAAAGAAAGCTGCAACCACGGGAAGAGTAATGTTATGCAGTGATTTCTTGCTGGGATTCTTATAGGAAAATGGCAAATAACTCTCTATAAAATCACTAGGAGTTTTTTTTTTTTTTTTTTT